GTCTTTGCTGGAGGAGGACAAGAAAAGATGGTGATGGTGAGACAGAAACCAAAGTTACATTATACAAATAACAGATCAGTCTATATACCACAGCAACCAAAACACTTTTCAGCTGATTGCAGGGGTTTTCCTTCTGTTTCTCTCAAGAATTAGCCAGCTCCTTTATCATTGTTTATTTGTGACCTCTTCCCTGTGCTGCTGATTGCTTGACACAGGAGGGTCTAATTATCTCCAGGCTTCCTGCCTATTTTAATGGAGAGGAATGTTTATCAGTGTGAGCAGAGAGACTTACCTAGCCCAGGTCCTAAAGGCTTTCTTCAGGAAGCAAAGGAATGAAATTGAAAGCTGTTAATTGATGGGCAGGAATGCAAACTTTTCATCTATGGCATTTTTAATGGCAAGAAGATATACCTTACTTCTCCCTCCTTACAGTGTGTACTACAGTGAGCATAGGAAATCTTAATTTCCCCTGGGAATTGCCTCTCCCAATACATTCTGCTTTGAAAGAACAGTAAATTCATATACACAGTGTTTATTCTTGTACTATTATGTATTAATTATTGTATTATTTTCCATAAGAACAACTGTAGATCTACTTTTGCCCCACTCTATAACCAAAGGAAGGAAAATCCCTGTCCAGACAAAGGACTGCACAGCATCTGAACTTGGCTACTTAGCAACTTGATCCCAGGACTTTGGGTCTCAAATAAGAGAGAAGAATGGATGAAACAGTTGAATTTCTAGCTATCGTTTGCTTATTTATTTACCTGACAAATGCTTAGTGAGGCTTGGCTGCGTGACAGGTACTATTCTCGATGCTGGTACAGTGGTAAACAAGACAAAGTTGCCAGACTTTAAATTTCATACTCTAGTCCACGGAGGCAATCAAACAAGTACAGGAGGTGATTTCAGACAGGGACTAGTTCTGTACAGAAAATACAACAAGGGTGCACAACTAGGAGCAAGCTATAAAAAGAACTAAGACATAAAGCATGGGAAGGAAGCAGCCCAGGAACTTTTGCAGGGAAGAGTGTTCTAGCCAGTGGTTCAGGGCCAATGTCATAAAAACATGCTAAGTAGCAGTAACAAAAGACAACCTTCACCAGCTAATGTGACTCAGTGGTAGAGTGCCGACCTATGAACCAAGCGGTCCTGGTTTGCTTCCTGGTCAAGGCACATGCCAGGATTGTGGGCTCAGTTCCCAGTGTAGGACGTAACCAATCAATGATTCTCACTCTCAAGTGTTTTCTTACACTTCTTCACTTCTTGAGATTTATTCATTTAAAAGTATTAACTATTATGGATGAGCCTATCAGAATGCTAGATATTGGTATAATTTTTAAAAGCCATAGTTACTAGCCCTCGCCAGTTTGGCTCAGTGGATAGAGCATTGGCCTGTGGACTGAAAGGTCACAGGTTCGATTCTGGTCCAGGGCACATGCCCAGGTTGCAGGCTCAATCCCCAGTAGGGGGCGTGCAGGAAGCAGCCGATTAATGATTCTCATCATTGATGTTTCCCTCTCCCTCTCGCTTTGTCTCTGAAATCAATAATAATAATAATAAAAGCCATAGTTCCTAGACATATTTGTTAGACTGGTATACTATTGAGAAATTTCTCTTTTAGGTTGTTTCTATTGTTACTATATTTTAAAATATCCTTCATGGGTTTTTTCCCCTAATGCTTTGCTACTCTAAGCTCAATAGAATCTATGATCTTTATGTCACTATTAAAATTTCTTAGAGATTCATTAACCATAGTGTTAAATACTATAATTTATCCAAGTATTACATTTTTATTTCTTTAATAATGTTCTCATCCTAGTATAGAATCTAGTGTCAAATAAATAAAACTTTAACAAGATGATGGTAGGGAATCTTAAGCCATTTTCAGAAAAGTCATCTCTACTAGGATTTTCTCGTGGCTCACAGCCAAATGAATGAACATGTTTTGATGTATACTGTGCTGTGAAAGATATTTCACAGGTGACAGAAAGAGCAACTCATAGTAGTTAAGTTATAAGTAATGCTGGCTCATGGGACTAGAAGAAGGTCCAGAAGTTTCAAGGTTCTTCAGAGTTAATCAGTGATGTTATCAGCACACACAGTATCTTTCCATCTTGCCATTCCTCTGTCAACAGGACTGGCTTCTTCTGAAGGCTTGCTTTCCTCGTGGGCATAGAATGGCTGCCAGTGGTAACTGAGACTGGAGGTGACTTTGTTCGTGACTAAAGATAGAGAAAGAGGGTTGCTTTCCATAACCTTGGAACAAAAGTCATATGTTTTATTCTAATCGGGTGATTCTAAATAGCTGGATCAGTACACCTGGCAAATGTTAATTGACTTAAATTTGAAATATATGCCCACACCCAAACCAAACATTGTGGCAATGGAAAAGGATTAGAACTGGGGGTGGGATGGATTCCATTCAAATTCTGTGGCTACCTCATAGTGGGGAAGGATGAAATATATTAAGGAGTCTCCAACACCATCCAATGCAGGTGTACATTTGCATATATAATCTGTGTATAATTCACATACGTATTTCTTATTTGATTATTTAATGATAGAAATAATAGCGATCATGTCTTACTAATATAGGGTGTTATCATTTAAGTGCTTTACATATTTTTCATATTATATAGACTAGGAAAATATTCAATAAGATTAATTTATTATTAAAACTCATAGGTCATTATTTCCCTGTTTCTGTATTTCTATTCTTTCTTAATAAGGTATATACCATAAAGGGAAACAAAATGTTAAAGAAAGGGTGAGAAGGACACTTATAATTGTTATCTGAAATGTAATTTGAGAATCTCTGTGTTATACAAAACTATAAAGTCAATAATCAGTAACTAATAGTAGCTTACATATACTTTATTTTCAGAATATATTATTATCATTAAAATACTTTATACTCACTAATCTTATTATGTTTATGAAATTACCAATCAATGTGGTTTAGAAATGAGTTTAATGTTTTTTAATAGTTTAGAAATGACTTTAATATTTTTATGTCTAATGATGTGTTTATTTAACTTAAAAATGATTAACTTTAATCTCTCTATTGCAAAGAATTTTGAGTCTTTTTCTTTACCTTCATAGAACCAGCAACAAAACAAAACATCTTGATCAATTCAAAATTTCACTGAAATGTTTCTTCAGATTTCAATGTAGTTTATTTCATTAGTTATTCATTTATTTTTTCCAGCATTCATTGAGTTTATTCCCTTGATTGAATACTGACTCTGTGCCAGGCACTCTGTTAGATACTGAGTGTGTGTGTGTGTGTGTGTGTGTGTGTGTGTGTGTGGTGCTTGCACAGATGGACATGGATTTTGAGAGTTTCTATACCTTCCCTAAAATGCATAGAACATTAAAGGAGAGATTAGAAAATTCAGAATCAGGAGAGAATAGATATGTGATTTAAAAAAAAAAAAGTACATGTATGTCCCTTACAAAAGTGCTAATGCTAGGCTGCTGAGTTCTCAACTCCAAGTACCAGAGTCTAAACACGACCAACAAGTTGCTTCCTTACTCGGAGGTCACATCCTCACCGTTATCCTCCACCAAGATGACAGCACTCCAGGACCTGATGTGAATGTGAGTGGAAAGTAAATGACAGGCAGGAAAGACAATCAGCACCATCTGTATGTCCTCAATGCAGGGAACGTTTTGTTCGCTATTCTAAAACTATTAATCACTCTGAGCCATCAGCCTGATGGAGAAAAAAATTCTTCTTAGAATCTGCCCATTTCAGCACAGGACAGACAGAATTTGCTTCATAGAAAACATATGGAAATTATTCAAAAGTCAGGAAAACGGAAATAACTAAAAAAGTGTTGAGAACGGTTGTATTTGTAGCTTTAATTTTAGGGAAGAAGAGAGTTATTAATTGAAACACAGGCAAAGGGGAAGAAATTTGATCCCTGGAAAGGTTTCATGTGTGGCAAGTCAAACACCAGGAAAAGGGTTTTAAATAGACCAACTCAAAAAGGCAAGTGCTTTTGTCAGTGTTCTTAGTGTTCATTATGCTCACAACCTACCAACACATCTCAATGCAATGAATTATTGCTGTGCTTGTAAGATGTTGATTATTATTTATGATTCAGTGAGGTTTGTGAGATGCTTGCTGAATTTGAAAGCAATTCAGCAAGTGTGAGTCCCAGAAACTGGTAAGATAGAGCGACATACCTACTTCAAATATATCACTTTTGCTATAATTTACAAAGGATTATTTGGGCCATCCTGACCTGCATTAGCAAAAGAAGTTACATGACCAATAAATCCCAAGACTGAGCAGCAATTTGAGGTAAAAGAAAGAAAATGATTTAAGAGAATTAAAGATGCAAAAAGCATGATTAAGTGCCTTAACAGACATCATTCTTAATTTTTAGCTACAACTAACATACTATTTATTATTTGCTGTTATATAAATGTCCTGGTAAAAACACAATAACTTCTGAATTGATTTCTGAATTTTAGTAATTAAATAAACGTTTATGGACTATATTACAACTGTAAAGATTACAAATAAAAATATAAAGATACTGCCGAAACCGGTTTGGCTCAGTGGATAGAGTGTCTGCCTGCAGACTGAAAGGTCCCAGGTTTGATTCCAGTCAAATGTACCTTGGTTGAGGGCACATCCCCAGTGGGAGGTGTGCAAGAGGCAGCTGATTGATGACTCTCTCTCATTGATGTTTCTAACTCTCTATCCCTCTCTCTTCCTCTCTGAAAAAAAATCAATAAAATATATTTTTCAAAAATATATAAACATATAGCAATTACATTGCCATGCCCCTTTCAGAAGCATATTTACAAGAAAAAAATGCCATATTATTAAAAAGATTTACTATTTGTTATTTATCAGATGATGGTTATGGCCTTCCAGGAATCATCTTCCAATCTGCGCTACTGGAAACAATTACCAAATATTTAATAATGAAATATCTTCCTTACAATAGTTTAAAAAAAATGATTAAAATGAGATAACTTTGTCAAGAGAAAATCATTCTCTATGTAGCAGGCATCAGCAGTCCCCTTAATCAAGACCTAGTTTGATGAAAGGGAGGCTTTCTGAGGCTGCTCCAAGAACAAATGTGTCCTCATGATAGAATGGTTCCCAAAATAAGCTGTCATGTTTGGCTTCTCTCTGTGGGTGTATTGAATTTCCTGAATAATCCGTCTGTCATTTCACACACAGCAGATGCGGCCGATCAGCAACCAGACAAAACTCTGCTAGTGGAGGTCGTTTCTCACTGCCTCTACAGGAACTGCTTGCATTTGCCTCTTGATTTGCCTAATATTAAAAACAAACAAAAAAAAAACCATTAATGGATTACGAAAATCCCATAACTTATAAAAAATATGAACAAATAACCAGCATTCCATTAGTTGAAGTTGGGAGATATAAAAGAGATCAAAATCACAAATGAGATGATAATGTAGGTTATCCCAAATTGATAACCTCTCATCAAAGTAAGTCATTTTTCTGGTTAATTTAAAACTTCAGAAATAAATTTTTTTCTGGGCTGCTTAATAGCTAAATTATATTTTCTCAAGATTTTTTTTTCAAATTGTTTGAAACTTATCTTTAAACATTTATTTAGAAGATATTATTATTTTATTTTATTAGCAGAAACATCAAATTATGCTGGCAGGGAATTCTTCAGGATCTATTAACCATTTGTTGTTTTAAAATAATTGAAACACTGCATTGCATTAAGATAGTATTGAGCGCAGGAGCAAAGCCAGGAATCTAATGGTAAACTTGTCACTTTCCTGATTGATTTTATGACTCAAATGTTCAATTACTCCCATTAGATATTGACATGCTAGGGAAATAAGTACTTTATATGAATTTCTAAAAGATACTGATTGAAAATATAAAGTAAAAAAAAAACTGTTCTGGAAAAGCAATCATTGTGTTTGCTGGTTCTTTGATACAGAAAAACCATTAAAAAAAAGCATTCATCCATATGGTGTAATTCAATATTACAACCTGACACTAATATTAATGGTATATCAGTGACTTTTCACTATGTACAAACTGCTAAGTACAGCATACTCCATAAGCCTGGGTTGAAAATAACTTTAAGTAGCAAACATAGTGGCATATAACTATGTTTCAGGCCACATTAAACATTGATAATCTATATAAGGTACTTCATTAAAAGCTACTTTATAGAAATTTGAATTTATACAACAGCTAAATTAAGGATTGGTTTATTTGCAGTATTGAAAGTTTATTCATGTCATTAAAAATCTCAGGTTTTCCCAGGGAGGTCCATGTTCCCTTTTAATTATTCACAAACTTTTTGCACATGAAGATTTGTACATTTGGCCAGATAGAGTATACATTGTTGCATTCGGATTTTAAAGAGATTATATGTTTCAATAAAGTTTAAGAATTATGTTTCTTTAGTGTAATATCCACCCCTCATCATCAAATATAATTTACAAAATGTTGATTTGTTTTGCAAAACAGAGTATACCCACATAAAAAAAGTCTGCTATAAAATGAAAAAAAAAAAAAAAAAAAAAATATATATATATATATATATATATATATATATATATATATATGTGTGCATTGATTATGAGAACAAATGAACTCAAAACATTAGGAATACCATTAAAATATATTACAACATCTTATTTTTAAACATAATTCTTACTGGTGCAGAGAAGATAGCAATATAAGCAGAGCTACTGAGATCTTACAATATATAATATGCCAGACTTAGTTCTATCTATAGCAGGGGTGGGGAACATCTGGCCCACGGGCTGTATAAGGCCCCCACAAGGCATTAGGGGTGAGTTAATTAAATGTTTGAGCAAATGTAGCAGCCTAATTTTTAAGTTGATAATTTTGTATGGCCCAAGGCAGAAAAAACGTTTCCTACCCCTATTTATAGTATTTCATTTTAAATCTTGAAACTATGATGATGATCATTACAATTATTTCCCATTTTCATGAAGAAACTAAGACCTGCAGAAGTTGAACTATTCACCTAAGACCTTATAGCTAGTAACTAGAGGGCCTGAAATTCCGATATACCGCATGCCTTTGTGGAACTAAAATCCATACTCTTCATCACTCTGCTAGAATGCATTTCCTATAGCCCTCCATCACTCAAAATATTACTGCAGATATTGTAGGTGATGGAGTACTCAAATTCATCTACTGAATATTTAATCAGAGGCCTGATAATCACAGTACATATATTCTTCTGGAACCGTAGAAGCGGGTTTTATTTTCCTTTCCTCCAATCCACCCCCTCACATCTTTTCAGGAACAAATATTAGCACGTATGACCTCACGTATCTTCCCCCCCCCCCCCCCCCCACTTACTTTCTGTTGGAGGCAAAAGGCATGGCAACTTAATTCCAGATTAGGTTTCTCTTAAAATTTATGTCATCAAAAAGAGTTGTCATTTAGGTAAACAACTGGTCAGATTTATTTGTGTTTGTGTGTGTGTGTGTGTGTGTGTGTGTGTGTGTGCGCGCGTGTTGTAAAATTAAATACACTTTAAGGAAGATTATTTTAGTTAAATTCCTTTTTTTTAAATTTACATAGCGAACCTGACAGACTTTCTTTCATGTCAACTAAAAAAACCTCCCAGGGATCCTGTGTGCCAGGCACATCTTTCGATGCATCCTAAAGGAAGGGAGTGAGGATTTAATTCCTTCCTGTTGCTTATGAGTGGCAGAGTTACATTTCTGTGATAACATCTGTGTTTGGACAGCTAAGTCATGCTGCTTCTCTTGGAATCTTCTGGAGTTTGAACACACATGTAGCAGTAAAGATCAAAAGCATAATCTGTAGGACAATATATTTCACACCTTTTAACTCAATGGATTATAAAACAACCTGGTGAGAGTATAACTAACGAGGAAACTGAGGTTTAAAGAGATTCAGTGACTTGCTCACTTGGTAGAAGTACTGGGTGGAATCTAAGAATTCTGATTCCAGGTTACATCCTCTCTTTCCCTGTGTTGCATGGCATATCTGGTCATTCTGAAAGTCACCAAATGGAGAAAGAAAAGGTAAAACTGATTGCCCCTACTTAGATCTGCATCACTCCTCAGGGGAAACCCTGGACAGCTTTTCTCTTATGTGGAATGATTGCCTTACTACTTAAATGCTCTGAAAGAGGACTGGAGCTACTCTTGGTGGGCCGGTCCCCAGCCTTCTACGAGGTGTAATTCTGTTGAACTTTCCACGACAATACTCATTCCCCTCGTACTTGTGGCTCATGTCTAGAAGTAAAATAATCTATCAACTCCTCCATAGGAGGCATCATTAAGTTTTATTTATTTTTTTTAATTTCCAAGGCTGGGAACACTCTTAGCCTTTCACAGATATTTCTGGACTTCTCTTAATCAAAATAAGATGGTAAAAATTGATCATATGAATAGGGAATCAGACTTGGGGCAGAAGGCAAAGCAACTGCTCTGTTTTTTGTTGTTGCTTAAAAAACAAAACAAAAAAAACAGAATGTGTAGCTGTCACTGAAATGTGGCTTGACCAGGGTAATATTGCAAATGAGGTGGTATGTTCCCCCTTCTCCATCTATCTTCCCAATCTGGGATCTTCCTCCATCCCCTAACTCTCACCTTCAAATTCTTGTGTTGTCACATTCCTTTGTTTAAGAAAATAATACTATTTGTTTGATAAAAGCATTAACTTGTTCACTACTTGAATTCATTGTTTCGTGAAAATATGGTGCCTTACTAAACTTAATGAATGTGTAAATAAAATCCCTAGAGGGTGTTATTAAATGTTTCCTCTAACTCACATAATAAAACACATTTAAATAAGTGGAAGAAAATAATGCTATCCTCCTTCCAGAAGAATCTTTTAAGATGGCATTTAATGTGGAGAAGGCAGATGTCAAGGAGTCAAGGAGGTGAAGGCAATGTAGAATGGGAACAGAAACTTTCTTTTCCCCAAAATGACAATTTCTAGATCCCTGATGATGCCTTATAAGCAAAGGGCCAAATGAGGCATTTGTGGATCAATTCCTTGCATTAGGAAAAGACTTAAAGTTTTTAATCTTTCACCCACATTAACACAGAATTGGTGAGTGAGTATTGTTATTCTAGAGGAGGAATCAGAGGCACCCTCAGATCCTCTGGAGGCGGAATGCATGTGCCTTATACAATACCCAGCCTGCCCCAAGAAACATTTCCTAGTGGGATTGTGCATCCCAGCATCAAGAAGTAAGATATTTATCTCTTTTTATCTATCAGAGAATCTACACAAGCCAGGACATATATAAGGAGGTCCTTAAATCTATACAAGTACATGCAAATAAGTTGGTATAGAATTTCTAATCCTTATTTGTGAAATCAAACCAGAGGAGCATCCTTAAGAATCCTGGTGCTAAAGGAAAATAACAAGCACTTAAAAAGATTAAATATTTAATTGATAATATTTTAAATTCTTTAAAATAACAAGCACAGATACAAGAGCTGTCATCATCCTTCTTTGTCAAAAATAAACAAACCTGAGACTAAGTTTCCTTTCGGCAATTCTAAAATCCCCATGTTGCCATACAGTATGTGATAATATTACATAGGAATTCCAAAATCAATATTTGTTCGCTGTGCTTTAAGATACAGCCTGTTAAAGTTACATTTCTATACACTGAAAAGTCTACATTGTAAAGTAAGGAGAGAGAACATGCCACAGAGGGAGTCTCCTTGTGAGACAGTTGAGTACAACGGAAGTGGTACAGCTATGAGTATAGTTGAAGTGTCCGTCAGGCCTGTGGTCTCATCCGAAGACGCACCTGCCCCAAGCCCACACGGTTGTTGATAGGATTCGCTTCCTCAGCATCAGCTCTTTGTTGGCTCTTGGCCAGAGTGTCCCCTTGGCTTCTTGCCAGGTAGGTCTCTACAGCTCGGCAGCTTGTTTCATCCAATCAGGCAGCCCAGAAGGCAATAGGGAGAATCTGCTCACAAGATGGAAGTCTCGGTGTTGAATAACCTAATCATGGAAGTGGAATCCCTCCTCTGGCCCCGTTTGCCATATTTTATTGGCAGGACAAAGAAGGGAGTCACAGGGCTAGCTCACACTCAAACAGAAAATTTCAGAAGGTTGTGACTATCAGATGCTGGGATCATTGGAGACCATCCTAGGGGCTGCCTAACATACTAATGCATTTCAAAAATCACCTAGATAATGACTTAAATATTTACAGAGGTAAAAAATATACGATTGACAAAGAATAAGAAAAATAATGCCTAATAGCCATTTTAACAACCTCACCTTAAAATATATTCTAAAACTCT